TAGAGCATCGACAGCGTTCGGTGGAGGATATTGTTTGAAGCGATGTATTTATCCATCAAGAGATCGAATTCGAGGGGGAAAAAGATATTTTCATTCGATAGTGGTGATGGAGGTTCGGAAACATGTTTTTAATTCGAGGGGTGGTGCCGCTTTTTTCATGGTCGTTCGGATCGAGTTTTATCACGATTCGATCTATACATAAATACTGAGGTTCGGATATATACTAAGATGTAAAATGGAAGATCGAAAATATAGTATCAGGAGATAGATATGACGATCGAGATTAGGATGAAAATGTCGAGGTCAGTAGTAGAAATATGAGCCGCATAAGTATTAAGATGAATGTCAAGACGAATGATGAGATGCAGCAGGAAGATTAAAGATGTAGCGTGAAATGTCGAGATGCAGTATAAATGTGTGTGTGTGTGTGTATTAATGTTGGTTAGAATAAGTATAAATATCGATATGTAGCACGAATGTTAAAATATCGCTTTTATTAGTTCGTTAGCGATAAACTATAAATAAAGGGCTTTGGGTGTTTTCATTAGTTTTTTGTCGCGATGTATATAGTAGTTCCCCCCTCCTCTCCGCGAACCGGGATCGAGGGTTAAGGGATGAGGGGTGTGAGATTATAAACGTAGAATATCAAGAGGGAATAAATGTAAATAGCGATAGGAATTAGTTCGAGAAGTAGAATAGATAGATGATGAAAATAAACGTGAATAAGTCGTATATTAAGTGAGCAGTACGAAAGTTGGGTCGGCGTGAATAATAAAGACAATATTAACAAGATGAGTCACCGACCATTAAAATCCGATTCATTGACTATATCGATTACGAGGCATTTCGACAGTGTGATCAATCGAAGCTCGTTTCAGGGGTTCACAGACTAGATTCGATGACGGTGAGTATACGTGGACTATATTAAGTGCGATCAATCGAGCTCGTTTACGTGGTCCCATAGACGAGGATTTCCATCGAATTCAATACGTGAATCATGTCGAGTATAATTAGTCGGGCTTTATCTAGGTGGTCCATCGATTGGATCCGATGGATGACGAGGGATTG